ATAACATAACATAACATAACATAACATAACATAACATAACATAACATAACATAACATAACATAACATAACATAACATAACATAACATAACATAACATAACATAACATAACATAACATAACATAACATAACATAACATAACATAACATAACATAACATAACATAACATAACATAACATAACATAACATAACATAACATAACATAACATAACATAACATAACATAACATAACATAACATAACATAACATAACATAACATAACATAACATAACATAACATAACATAACATAACATAACATAACATAACATAACATAACATAACATAACATAACATAACATAACATAACATAACATAACATAACATAACATAACATAACATAACATAACATAACATAACATAACATAACATAACATAACATAACATAACATAACATAACATAACATAACATAACATAACATAACATAACATAACATAACATAACATAACATAACATAACATAACATAACATAACATAACATAACATAACATAACATAACATAACATAACATAACATAACATAACATAACATAACATAACATAACATAACATAACATAACATAACATAACATAACATAACATAACATAACATAACATAACATAACATAACATAACATAACATAACATAACATAACATAACATAACATAACATAACATAACATAACATAACATAACATAACATAACATAACATAACATAACATAACATAACATAACATAACATAACATAACATAACATAACATAACATAACATAACATAACATAACATAACATAACATAACATAACATAACATAACATAACATAACATAACATAACATAACATAACATAACATAACATAACATAACATAACATAACATAACATAACATAACATAACATAACATAACATAACATAACATAACATAACATAACATAACATAACATAACATAACATAACATAACATAACATAACATAACATAACATAACATAACATAACATAACATAACATAACATAACATAACATAACATAACATAACATAACATAACATAACATAACATAACATAACATAACATAACATAACATAACATAACATAACATAACATAACATAACATAACATAACATAACATAACATAACATAACATAACATAACATAACATAACATAACATAACATAACATAACATAACATAACATAACATAACATAACATAACATAACATAACATAACATAACATAACATAACATAACATAACATAACATAACATAACATAACATAACATAACATAACATAACATAACATAACATAACATAACATAACATAACATAACATAACATAACATAACATAACATAACATAACATAACATAACATAACATAACATAACATAACATAACATAACATAACATAACATAACATAACATAACATAACATAACATAACATAACATAACATAACATAACATAACATAACATAACATAACATAACATAACATAACATAACATAACATAACATAACATAACATAACATAACATAACATAACATAACATAACATAACATAACATAACATAACATAACATAACATAACATAACATAACATAACATAACATAACATAACATAACATAACATAACATAACATAACATAACATAACATAACATAACATAACATAACATAACATAACATAACATAACATAACATAACATAACATAACATAACATAACATAACATAACATAACATAACATAACATAACATAACATAACATAACATAACATAACATAACATAACATAACATAACATAACATAACATAACATAACATAACATAACATAACATAACATAACATAACATAACATAACATAACATAACATAACATAACATAACATAACATAACATAACATAACATAACATAACATAACATAACATAACATAACATAACATAACATAACATAACATAACATAACATAACATAACATAACATAACATAACATAACATAACACGTCATTAACTGAATTTTACCATACATTTCTGCCATATGTACATCAATTTGACAGTCCCCACTGACTGTATGCTTTGGATCATGAGCTGTTCCAAGCCTTCTCCATACTTTTTTCTTCCCGTCATTCTGGTACAGGTTGACCTTAATTTCAGCCGTCCAAAGAGTGCTTTTCCAGAAGTGATCTGTGTTTTTTGGCAAAGTCTAATCTGGCCTTGTTTGCACCTTGTGGTGAACCTTCTGTGTTTGCTCTCGTGAAGTCTTCTCTTGATTGTAGACTTTGACAGTGACATGCCTACCTCCTGGAGAGTGTTTTTCTCTTGGCTGGATGTTGTGAAAGGGTTTTTCTTTACCATGGAGAGGATCCTCCGATCATCCACCACTGTTGTCCTCCGTGGACGTCCAGGCCTTTTTTGCCAAGCTCTCTCGTGCGTTCTTTTTTTTCCCATAGTCTTATGTTGTTTCTTATTGATTGTTCAGATAGAGAGGTGCCACAAGTAACATTTCCATTATGACCCTTTTCTCTGCTTTCACACTCGGATTGAGAAACATGACAACTGTGCGTATGACTACCTGGAACTGCGAGATGGTGATTCCGAGAACAGCCCTATACTGTTTTTAGTTGTGTTTTTAGCAGTTGCTGGGGTGTTCTGGGTGCTTGATTACTTGCTCAAGTCAAGAGAGCCCTTCTGGAATTCTTTATAAATATGAAGTAAATAAATATGCCTAAATCCCTCATTTCTCATAAGCCGCATAATTTCTACCATTTGTGTCCGTAACACAAACTGAGGTGAACTCACTCCAGTCACACATGCTCAAATTTCCAGAACAATTAAAAAACAATCTACAATCAAATTCTAACAAACTCATATAATGAGAATTGCATTGCCAATCATAAAACTCTCAAAGGCTGATTGGAGAACAGTGAATGAAATAGCAGCAACTCTGCTTAACTGGAACATAACTAAGCTTTCACACTCTGGTTTTCCTGATTGTTTATGGTTATTAAAAGGCAACTTCAGGTCTGATTCCACAGTTTGTTCCTTTATAATTTAGAAACACATAAGGAAATTCAATATATGACATATATTGCCCTATATCAAGAGTCATATTGTCATATATTACCTATAAGGTGAGATGTCATTTTCATTATCTGAATGGATGAAGATAACTTTGCAACATAAAATCCATGTCAATATAATATGTAGAGGTCGGCTGAAATCCATGCCAATAGTTTTTCTCAGGTTGCGTCCAATGCTGGAGCGGCTGGGAAGGTCTGCTGTTATTACACAGTGTGAGAGCGGCCTCTAGATGCGGAAATCATTGACACGTTGTGTTGTTTGTTTTGACACGTGAGGCTGCCTGCTGCAAAGTGTGGGAAACTTCAGACACGGATTTTAATGCAACTGACAGAAAATCCTGCCACGCCACAGAGCCCCATTTGCATAGTTTTCCATTCATTTGCATTATATTTGTCCCAAATCATTGTTAATGTACATAATGACTTCACCCTAGGCTGTAAAATTGTGCAATGAATTGTTTGTCTTTCTGTGGCTCTAATAAAATATGCTTCATTTAGAGAGCTATAATATAGATTGCACTTTCTTTTTTCCGTTTTTGCTAATTTGTTCATTCTTGAAGTAAATTTTTGTCAATTTGGTGATTAAATAAACCGTTTTAGACCACTGCTTGAATTGAACACGACGCGTCCGGTGTGTGTGCGATACCTGCAAGTTGACCTAGATGCAGTGCTGCGCTTTTGCCCAGTGTGTGACTGCCATATTTAGTTATTTTGATTAGATAAACATCAGGTGTTCTAAAATAAAAGCAAATAAAGTGTGAGAGTATACATACAATATCCATATGTACTGTATGTCATTTCAATGTTATGGCCTGTGTTTAGATATTTAAAGATGGCCATCTTTAAACATGGCTGTTGAAATGAAATGGTAATATACGTATATGGCTATACAAGTATTGTTCCTCGTTGGAGTGTGTTCATTTCAACATTTACTATTGCGAATACATTTTTTAAATTTTAAAGTTAACATTAATTAATAAACTATGAACAAACTTTAATGATCAATATAATAATTCATATTAATATTTTTTATTCAATAACAAAGTTTAGATAAGCATTAATATATGCAACTGTATTAAACCAACTTCTATAAACATACGGAATTGTTTGTATATATGTCTTTTTTTTTTTAAATACATGCCTATCTTTTGTATCTTTGATTTACTTATACGATATCAACATGCACTGACAGTTTTTAGCATGATACATATTTTTATGGGCTATATATGTTAATGAATGAAATTGCTTTTTGAGTACATGTTCTTAAATTTAAAATATGCATGTGTTAATGTATGCATAAATATCTCTGTAATATGTACATATAGTACACATTTGCATATGGGAAGGCCTGAGAATAACAGGTAGAACATGATCTCACATTCTGCTTCAGCCATTATGATTAATAAATACAACTGGATACCACAGTTTACCCTTCCTGCAGCAATATGTTATCATAATCAGCCTATTAGAATGATTTCTGAAGGATTGTGTAACACTGAAGACTGCGGTTATGCTGCTAAAAATGCAGCTTTGCCATCACAACACAAATAAATTACATTTTAAAATATATACAAAAATAAACAGTTCTTTTAAATTGCAATAATATTTCTGAATTGTGTGTATAACAGACTTGTGTATGGATTAACTGGTTCTCGCCATGAATATAGCCATAGATGCTGGAATGGCGTTAAGAAGAAAATAAACAAACATTGTATTTTTGATTAAATAAATGCAGCCTGGGTGAGCATAAGAGACTTAAAATTATTTTTAAAAAGCTTTAATGCATCCAAACTTTTGACTGGTAGTGTCCAAGAATAATAGCTTTAGATTACTGCTTAAATGTGAGGTAGATATAACTAGGGTATTCTGTGTGGTTTTTTAGCGCATTCGTTTACTTGAACAGGTTTTGGTATCACCTGCGCAGCTGCGCCGGTCCGGGGTCAGCTCGTATCCAGGGTCGCAGCCGCAGTGGTAGCTGCCCAGGGTGTTGACACAGCGCTGCTCACAGTGACCGTTATCAGGTTTGGAGCATTCGTCAATCTCTGCATTACAAGCAAAACTCAAGATCAGAAGGTCACAAAGGAGGCAAAGCAGTCAATATATAATTCAGGAGTGTCACCTTTGAAGAAATTAGCTGCAAACCCAGCTTTGTTCACCGAACCGTCAGATACAAACTTCATCCACAGCTGGTTGGAGCTGCTCTTGATATCGTCTGGCTTTGCGTAGCCACAGAAGTGACCCAGTAGAGGGCTGTTCTCGGAATCGCCATCTCGCAGTTCCAGGTAGTCATACGCACAGTTGTCATGTTTCTCGATCTGAGTGTGAAAGCAGAGAAAAGGGTCATGATAGAAATGTTACTTGTGGCACCTCTCTGCCCGAAAATTCAATAAGAATGCTTCACTGTCAGTACTGCTAATCAGCACTTGTGATGCCATGACAAGAAGCTGAAGCCACAATAAATCACAGGCATTTCATCGATTTGTGTGTTCTGCTCTGCAATGACTAACATTTCATGACATTTCCGAATTCACTTCTCCCTTTCTCTTCCCATCATTAAATGCTCTCTCTACACATTCCTCTACAATAACACTTCATTCAATAACGCTCAAAAGTGTTTGCAGTGTGCTTTAAACCTTAAAAGTATATATTTTTTTAAATGTACTTGCAGATAATATTAATGAAATGAAAGTGTACTTAAAGGGAGTACACTTTGATTGCTTTATTTCATAACTCACATTTTTTGTGTACATTTTAAACCATTGTTTTCATAATCATTTAGCCATGCGTAAATAAAGCACACTTATTTTGACTAACATGCTAAAGTACATGTAAAGTACTTGATTATAAGTCTAACTACTGTGATATTTGATATTAAATTTAAAGTTAAAATATCATATACATTAAATTGCGACTTCGTTATTACAAATTTGTCATTTAAATATTTAAAAAAAACAACAGAAATTGAGGTAGGAAGTACACTTTAACCATATTTCAAAAACAATAGAATTATGAAATTAAATATAAATACATCTTTATATTTAATTTCATAATTCTATTGTTTTTGAAATATAGTTAGAAAGTGTACTTTCTACCTCAATTGCTGTTAATAATTCCAACTAAAAAACGTCCTACTTAAAAAGCACTCGAAGTTTGAGCTCATTTCATTTAATATCAAGCTAAATTATAATACATTTTGATTAACTGCAATTAACATGCAATTAGTTATCCAGAAACTACATTGTTTGCACTTAAGTATATATCATTTCCAAGTACTAGTTTTAACAGGAATAAATTACATTCTTAAATATACTCAAATAGTAAGCAGTTATTTTAAATAGTAAAAATATTTCACAATATTACTGCTTTTGCTGTATTTTGGATCAAATAAAAGCAGGCTTGGTATGCAGAAGAGAATAATTTTTCTTCTTTTAAACATTAAAATTTTGCCGTCCAAAAACTTTTGACTGGCATAACATAACATAACATAACATAACATAACATAACATAACATAACATAACATAACATAACATAACATAACATAACATAACATAACATAACATAACATAACATAACATAACATAACATAACATAACATAACATAACATAACATAACATAACATAACATAACATAACATAACATAACATAACATAACATAACATAACATAACCCATTTATGTGAAGTGGTGGTAAACAGGGACATGCAAATTGGCTGATATTTTATTGTTTCCATTTATTTTGCTTTATTAATTAAAAAGTTCAGCATTCTGTCAATTATATCAACCGTAGTCATGGGGACAGACATGTTGTACAAATGACAGCATTGTAATGTATATTTTTGTGCTCTCACACACTGCTGTCTGAGGCTAGTTACAGAACATCACATGACAATAACGCACCCTACCTCAAACGACTGGAAGACGAGGCCCACATGAAACCCCTGGGGTACGATGATCTTCCATGTGCACACTTTATTAGGCCGATAATCATCAGGGTAATTGGGTGACTCGATCTGTCCACTGTCTCGTCTTACGTCACCTCCGCAAATAGCTGAATCCATGGACAGGACATCACTTATTATTACAGGGGAACAGATGAGCCTCTCAGCTGGTGATGAGTGGATTTATACCTTCATAGACAGCAGAGAAGCCTTTCCCCACCCAATTACTGCTGCTGCTGAATTCAATCCACAGTCGACTGTCAGTGGACACGATGGCCTCGGGTAGCTGGTCTCCACAAAAACGGCCTGAAGCAAATGCAACAAACTGATCAAAGATGGGGCTCCACTTTCTTTCAGATTGTCATGGACAGGGTTGATGGAATATTCTGTTGTGACCAGTGTTGGGGAAAGTTACTTTTAAAAGTAATGCATTACAATATTGCGTTACTCCATAAAAAAGTAACTAATTACATTACTTAGTTACTTTTTATGGAAAGTAATGCGTTGCGTTACTTTTGCATTACTTTTTAAATCTGGACAGAGCTTGCTTGTTTGTTTAAAAAAAAAAAAGTTATATTTTTGGAAAATACTGTATAAAAGCCTTTTCACACCAAAAGTGAAATGAATAAGCCTCAGGCTGAAGGGAAAGTAAATTTAAGTCCGTACAGCAGAATTAAGACCGTACAGTCTTGAAGAAGACATTTCAACACACTTCAGCAATAAAAAAAGACACACAAATGTTTGTCTAGAGTAATTTTTGCTTATTAGTACGGTTGAACTGGATCATCGAAGGTCAGAAGTAAAGAATGGGATTAAATACATAAAGGATATTTGTGTTGTTTAACATTTAATTATTGCAGATTTTAGTCATATTCTGAGCTGCATTATTTTTATTCATTTTGAGGAATACTGAATCTGTGGGGGGTTTTTTGTGTGAGTGAGATGAATTAATGCAGTAAGTAACTTGCGTTACTTATTTGAAAAAGTAACTCAGATATTCTCTTGTAAATTAAAAAGTAATGCGTTACTTTACTAGTTACTTGAAAAAAGTAATCTGATTACGTAACTCGCATTACACCCCCAACACTGGTTGTGACACATTTGCATATTCTTTTTTTTAAAAAACCAAGAGAATTTTTTATTTATCAAAACAAAAACAAAAAAATTATTAAAAGGCATTTAAGACAAAGAAATGCAGAAATGATCTTAATAATAAATACGAGAACCTTTCAAAGGTGCATTTCTCCAGTATCCATCACGAATCTCCACATGGTCGTACCAGCACAAGTGACTTCTGTACAGATCCATTGAAGTAAAATTAAGAATGATCTAACAAAGAGAACGAAACACAGACAAAAGCAACGAGAAGTTGGAAGTCAAAAAAGGTTACCTACACTACCGTTCTTAATTTTTAATGAAGTCTCTCACGCTCACCAAGGCTGCATTTATTTGATAAAAAAAACAGTAAAAACAGAAATACAGTGAAATATTATTTAAAGTATTCCATTTTCAAATATTTTAAGCTGAATTTTCAGCATAATTACTCCAGTCTTCAGTATCTCACGACCCTTTAGAAATCATTCTAAAAGGTATGTTTTTTCATTTATTGTTTATTTTATTACAATTCAATTGTGTTAAAGAGAAAATAAAACAATACAATTTTACTGACTGGTGTAATGTAACATCCAGCTCATATATGTGTTTCTGCATATCAGCTCATGTATATGATTCTGTGTCAAGTTCTTCTACCTTCTCCCCAGGCGTGACCGATATCCTCCATATACAGTGAAGATATGCAGCATACCCATTAGGGAACCCAGGAGAGGAGAAGTTTCCAGTGCTGTCCTGAAGGCTCTCGCCACATCCTGTGCACAAACCAGAGTCGAAACCACATCGAGACAAACTCACAGATGCTTGACCTGGAAACCAGATCCTCTTATTGGAAAACAGTAGGAGTTTTCCAGATGCTAAGGTCAGTTTTAGGGATCACGCTTTTATTTTGAAGTGGGAAATCACCATCATTCCAGCTGAGATCAAAGGAGATGACTGGAAAAACAAACGTTCTATGACAGGGGATAATAATACAGCTGTTTCATTCTCCCACTTTACAATTAAACTGATGTCACAGTCACAAATGCATATGTCGAAAACACTGCAAACTTTGTAAGCAAGAGCCGAAGGAAATCTAAAAAGCTGGCTGCTTCTTCAAACGGTCGTTCAGTGATGCTAGATTGGCTGCTACAGTACAAAGATGCCCGACGTAAGGGCCACTTACTTGGACACTTATATAATTTTCTAGTTTGAGCGATGTCCCCTTTGCTCAGTCTCGTCCGCTGCCCGATGGGAGGTCGGATTCCATCAACTTCAAACTTTGGCAGCATGGTATCAAGATAGATGCCCCTATTTTTCACAAAAGCACAAAAGCAACAGCACCCCAATTATTTGTGAGTGAAACAATAAAGAATAGTAAGATAAAACACATTAAAGAATAGTAATACTATGCAGTATTATTGTGAAATATTATTGCAATAAAAATGTTTTCTATTTTAATATTTTAAAAAGTCATTTATTCTTGTGATGTCTTGAGTATAGTCAAGGCCAATATGGCTGCTCTATCGAATGAAGCCCCGCCTTCTGAGCAAAAGAGCCAATCCCTAATCGGTAAAGTCAGCACGTCACTGCAGCTGCTGTTAGAAGTCCCGGTTGCTATAGAAACAGTCAGCATTCGGAGACATGCCCTTGGTGCACAGTTTTGGAGAATTTGATGTTTCCCCATTCAGAGAGATAGGATCTGCACTTGCATGTCCGAGAGGTATTTTAAAGAAGGCCGCCGAATGACATTGCCTTAAAAGGGACTTTGGTATAGTCTTATTTTTGTAAAATTGACATGCTATTAGTTTTTTGTTTATAATTTGAATTAGATAGTTTACATTTTCTGTTTTCATTTTAATTTTAGTTAGTTTTAATAATAAAGTTAGTCATTTTTATTCGTTTTTACAGTTAAGCCCCACTAGACACCAAGAACGATAACTATAAAGATAACTATAAAGATATAGTTCTAAAAATCATTCTCAATATTAAAGAATAGCAGAGTCCACACCACAGCTATAACGATAAAGGCACAGAGAAACAATATCGTTGGAATCACTTTCAGAACTATTTTTTTCCAGCTGATACAAACATTGACACCCAATCAGAATCCATCCTGCTATAAAGATCTCGAGAATTTAAAGCGGCAGACGAGCGTACGCTTAGAATAAACAGACAATATCGTCTGCTGGTGTGGATGCTAATATTTTCTTATAGTTAGCTGTAGTTAAAGTATAGTTAAAGATAGCTATATCTTTATAGTTATCGTTCTTTGTGCAGTTTTTAAACTATGTAGTTAAACTACCGTAGTTTTAGTTAAACTTGAAAATGTTGCTTTGACAACTAGCTGAAATAAAATATTATTTTCTAATATTTTATTTTATTAGTAAACGTTTATTTTGATTCAAGTTTCAAAAATGATTTATGGTTTTAGTTTTAGTTAACATGATGTGTGTCCAAATACATTTTGGGGCCACTGTACATGATAATGACATCAGAGATCCAGCTTGCACCACTCAAATATGAATCACATTTGATTGGCACTTATTCACTACATATAGTCTTTCTCTCTGCTGTTCTGAGCACAGAATGATTGCTCTTTTCTCTCGTCCAGTTCCCATGACGACAGCACCCTGAATGGCCAGCATGTGGACGCAGATCAGTCAGAGCGGAGTTTAAAGCATTGCCTCGCTGGACTGCGACTCCCTGGAGCCCACCCTGCATGCCAGAGAACAACGGCACTCCAGCCCCTGCAATTGTCCAGGACAAAAAGCCTGGAAGAGCTTTATTTGTTTTGGCCTAATTCCAGGATCCCCCAACTGCAAAATTCTGGAGGTAAAACCGCACAATGTGATTATTCCTGGTTTAGAGGCCAGAAGGAGAGGGGCCACTTTGCAAAACACTAAAAATAACAATCACAGAGAAACCAAGCCAGCTTCCCACAAAGCATTGCGCTACTAATTGATGTGAAGTTTTTCTCAGACTCTGACTACGGCTGTTAGAAAATATAGAAGACATTAACCACAAGCATTTTGATCAAAACAATTTCCACACACTCAGAAAAAAGGGTACAAAGCTGTCACTGTTGCGCTACCCTAAGGTACAAAAGTGAAAAGGTACATATTTGTACCTTAAGTTATATGGTACCTCAAAGGTTCATATTAGTACTTCAAACGTATCCTTTTGAAAGGGTACCACATCAATTTTGTACCTTTTTTTCTGACTGTGCATGACATCAAGGAATTTTTTTAATAATTTTAAATCAAACTGGTTTTGCAAAAATATTTTCTGAATACGTTTGAGTTGTTAATAAAATTACTAGAGCTTTCTTAGTCTAAAGTGCATTTGGATTTGACTACATCAGCATTACCCTCACTGTTTCCAAACTGTTTGCGAGTTTGGTCAACTCAGAGCAGCTTTGTGAGACCCAAAACAACTGATCAAAGGACACTCTACCTAAAAGTCTATCTGCATTTCAGCCTTGGCTCCTTGTCTGAATTCCTTCCTGCTTGTCCTAAACAACGGGCCCCCTCAAAGCAGCTGGCTGGATCTCCATTCTCAAGCCACTAACAACAGGTTAGGCAGCAGTCTGTGACAGCGCCAAGTCCTCAAATCCTGCTCTGTCCCATCAGCTCAACCCTTGTCTTAAAAACAAGACAGTAAGAAATGCAATAATGTGCCTGTCTTTTATAATTAGTGTAGAAATTAATATTTGCATTTTTATTTTTGTTTAAAGGGGTCATATGATGCGATTTCAATTTGTCCTTTCTCTTTGAAGTGTTACAAGCTCTTGGTGCATAAAGAAGATCCGTAAAGTTGCAAAGACTAAAGTCTCAAATCCAAAGAGATATTCTTTATAAAAGTTAAGAGTCAACCACGCCCTCCTAAAATGGCTCGTTCTAACACGCCCCCACATGTCTACATCACGATGTGGGAAGATTTGCATAACGCCGCCCAAATGTTCACGCAAAGAAAGAAGGTGTAACTTTTATTCTTGCTGTAGTATTGTTGCTGCCGCCATGTCGTGAAGATGCGTGTGTGTTTGTGTTTTGTGTGTTTCGTTGTGAACGCGAAACTACTTTGTTTGCCCTTCCAAAAGAGGACAATATCTGCTTCGTCATGCCTGGAGCTGATCCGTGCTGGTCGCTGAGGAAATACATCAACTTCGCGCTGTGGATCGCCGGATCAGCTTTCACCGTGGACAAAGTGGAGTCCAGCCCGGGGTCGTCACATGTGGTTGCTGCAAGCCCACCAACTGCTCCTTCGTCGAATCCGCCGGTCGTGCCGTTCTCAAGCCCGCCGGCCTCCGCTCACTCTAGCTCGCCGTGTGTTTCACTGTGAAAGCGAAACTACTTTGTTTGGCCTTCCAAAAGAGGGCACGACTAGAAATCAGTGGTTAAGTTGTATTTACAACACTGTTCCAGAACACTTCAACCCAAATATTCAGATGTGTGCAGTGCATTTTATGGAGGACTGTTTCTTGATCCTGGTAGAGTAGACTACAATGCCGGCTGTTCTGACTCACAGACTGTAAGTACATTTTCATTTTAAGGATTTGTCACTGATGATTCAAACGTGAGTTTTGAGCGGTGTAGAGTAGCGCTTGTTGTTTGTCATTTCTCCGATCACAAATGCAGACATGGTTTTATGTTTACGCTGCGCGATGCAACGCAATGCGAAAAAAAGATAGTATAAGTCATTATAATCCGTAATTATGTCCCCACTGGATGCAACAAATGCCTCGTTTGTAATGAGTTTTAATGTTTTTGTCTCGTTGCTCCGGCCAGGACACGCCATCACAGTATGGTAAGGGGCGTAACATTTCCGTCACACGCTTGAGGTATTTGGCCAATCACAACGCACTAGATAGCTGGCCAATCAGAGCACATCTCACTTTTCAGACCGATGAGCGTTGTAAAAATCGACGCGTTTCAGAAAGGCGGGGCATAGAGGAGAAACAATAATGTACAGTATGTGGAAAATAATGTGTTTTTTTAACCTTACACCGCATAAACATTTTATTCCACCAAATAATGTTCTTTTTAGCCACATCATATGGCCCCTTTAATACATCGGAGAATAAATAATGGTTGATTTTTCAGTCAACATACAGAGAATAATTAAAGTGTCAATGGGAGGCTGCGTAATCAGATTGAAGTGGTATTTAGCAGAAATTGTATTCATTTATACAATGTAAAAAAAATTGAATTTATATAGTGCTGTCATTTCTTTATAATTATTTGAGATACATGCTAGCAATTTCTGAGTGAAAATTGTTTCTACACTAAATATTTTCAGTATATGTTATATATCAGGGGTGGCGAACGTCGGTCCTGGAGAGCCGCAGCCCTGCAGAGTTTTGCTTCAACCCTAATCAAACACCTGAACAAGCTAATCAAGGTCTGAAGGGTTACTAGAAAGCTACAGGCAGGTGAGTTTTAATTAGGGTTGGAGCTGAACTCTGCAGGGCTGCGGCTCTCCAGGACCGGAGTTCGCCACCCCTGTTATATATGATCCAATTATCTCTAAAATAACAGTATCTACTTGTGTACAGGTTACATTAAAGTCCTATGAATCCAAACCTGGAAAAGGTGTTTCTGGCATAATGCATGATACTGTCAAAGTCGTAAACCTCTCCAAGCGAATCCACATCATCTGGCTCCATCTTTATGAAATTATACTCCTGACCTGTAAAGTGCAACATAGGCTTCATCACACTTCTACAGAATCTCACGCAATTATGAATTATCCTGGGTTTGAGATATAATACAATGCATAAAAGTTATGATTCTGGCAACTATGGGCATATACAGGAGAATTAGAAGTCATTCTACAGTTGTATGTAGTAGAGGTTTTGATAGTTACTGTACCTGGCTGGATGTTTTCTCGAAATATATCAACATGCTCGTCCCGGTCGGGTCGTGTGTGCTCGTGCCAGAATCCAATGACATGCCCGAGTTCATGCACCACGATGCCAAACTTGTCACAGTTCTTCCCGATAGATATAGCCTGTGGACCTCCACCTCTCCGCCCGACAAATGAGCAGCACCTTTTTTTTTTTAAAGAAGCCAACCAGGAGTTAGAAAACACTTTTGTACTTATTTTGTAGACACATTTTGTAAACAAATGGTGAAATTAATGTTTAGTTTATATTTGTATAGTTACTTTCTTCACTGTTGCAGAAACAACATTAAACAAGTTTTCGTACGGAAGAATTTTAGCCAGAGGTTAGTTAAATATCATCTGAGTGGTTTGAGGTCAGTAAGATTGTCCTTTTCATTTTTTTTTTTATTGATCATTTTATTGAGCAAAAACACATTAAACTGATAAAAAACAACAACAGTAAAGACATTTACTGTTACAAAATATTTCTATTTCAAATGAATGCTGTTCTTTTGAACTTTCTGTTCTTTAAACAATCCTGAAACATTCATCACAGTTTCCACACAAATATTTAGCAGCACAACTGTTTTCAACATTGATGATAGTATGTTTCTTGAGCAAATCAGCATATTAGAATGATTTCTGAAGGATCATGTGACACTGAAGACTGGAGTACTGACTGCTGAAAATTCAGCTTTGCTCTGACAGGAATAAAATATTTTTCAAAATATATTTCAATGGAAAACGTGTATTTGAAATTGTAATAATATTTTCACAGTATTATTTTTACTGAATTTTTTAGCAAATAAATATGGAAGCACATTTCCACACATTTTTAGGTTAAACACCCGAAATCATGACATACGTAAGTCATAATTACAAGATAAAAAGTCGAAATGATGACATCCTAAATTGAAATTATGACTTTAAAAGTCATAATTATGAGGTAAAAAGTCTAAATTATGACTTAAGCCATTTATGAGATAAAAAGTCAAAATCATGACTTTACAAGTCGAAATTGACTTAATGACTTTAATAATAAAAGCATATACCATTTACAGACAAGCAGACCATACCCCAGAATATGAACGCATCGCGTTGGGTTGCAAGTTAAGCGTTTTCTTGGGGTAGAACATGGTTTAATGGAAGAAGACCAAATCTGGTATACAGTTTATTAATATATATATATTATGTTCTACACCAAGAAAACGCTTAACATGCAACTCAAATTGTTGTGTTCATATTCTGGGGGTATATTCTGCTTGTCTGTAAATGGAATATGCTTTATTAATAATGTGTGAACTGAAATTGGTCTTCCAAACTGTTTTAAGCAAAGTTAATTCGTTTTAGAATGTCCCGTTTATCATTAGACCACTATCCTGTGACCAATGTGCATTTAAAGATGAAATATCATTGTCAATTTTGACTTATAAAGTCATAATTTCGATTTAGGAAGTCATATTTTCGGCCTTTAAAGTCATAATTCAACTTAGCAAGCCATAATTTAGATTTTTTTATCTCGTAATTATGACTCAAGTATGACTTTTTTTTTCTTACGTGGCGGAAATGGGCTTCCATAAATAAACACATCCTTGGTGGGCATAAGACAATTAGAAATTGCATGTCATGTAGAAATGTAGAAAATACACTGTGTAGAAAACATTCTATATGTCTAGAGAAGCATGACAACCGTTAAGTTCATCCTTCATCATTCAGCCTTTTGATTTATCAAAGTTCAGCAAAGTTTTGCTCAATTCAAAGGAGACACACCATGAGCTGAATGCAGCAAACTCTATAGTCTTTCAGACCTTGAGGTCAGGATCTGCCTCTGCTGAGAAAATAAGGCTTTGTGATAACTGAATCCAAGCAAGGATGTTTTTGTCACAGACAGCACATGGACTACTGTTTTGGGAACTGTGGTGTAGTGACGTGGCTTCAGCAAGGCCCATCTTTTTATTAACAGCCACACATACACTCACAGTCAATCATTCAAACTAGGTGGTAAACTGGTTGACAAAAACAAATTCCATTAAATATTATACTAGAAAACTACAAGAAAGCCAAGTTGGAATGGTGCTTACATGCAAAATGAGCTGTGGATGTTTGCCAGGTTGTAGCTATGTTCTGAGTGGTTGTTCATTCAATTGGTCAAGATTAACAGGAAAGACATTAAAAGACTGACAAAGATACAGAAGATTTCTATTTCTAATAAATGCTGTTTTTAAGCCTTTTTTCCATCTAAGAATCCTGAAAAAATGAATCACGGTAAGCAGCACAACTGTTTTCCACATTGATAATATTAAAAATGATTCATGAGCAGCAAATGAGCATATTAAAAGTATCATGTGACACTGAAGACTGGAGTAATGGTGCTGAAAATTCTGCTTTAATCCCAGGGGGTGGTTGACTGTTTTTCTTCTAGGCTTGATTGTGTTCATGGTGTGCAGTCTAACATGTGTTAATGCTTAGTTTTTAAAAAACGCATTATTTTTCACATAATTTACCTTTATTCCACACCGCTCTGTCCCTTCTCTGAGAAATACGCTGATCATTTCCTGCTTTTATGAAGCCCCGCCCTCAGAAATAGGCGATGGGCTCTGATTGGTTAGCTAGCCCAGTGTGTTGTTATTGGCTAAACCGCCTCTAGTGCGCGTCTGAACGTCACTCCCCTTACCTCAACAGCATGTGCTCTGGTTATATTGTAAACAACGGCGTCGTTAATATCGCTTATCAGTTTGAGCCTGATTAAGAAGCAGATGATATTATTGAAGAGAATCGTGCAGAATCTGTGCAAGCATGGCTTTTAATGGTAGGACTATGTTTTTTGTTTGTTGTTGTCTCATACTTTTAGATATGCTAAGTTATTTGTGTTACTTATGTTAGCTTTTAATATACGGCAACTGCACGCGTCCATGTTTAACGCTTCTCATAGCTATGTGAAAATAAGTGTATAATTGGAACAGTTCATTGTTGGAGCTGAGCTGAATGAGAGAGAGAGAGAGAGAGAGAGAGAGAGAGAGATGCAGAGCGTATGCAGAGCAGGGGGACGCGAGGAACAGTATTGAGAACCGCTGATTTAGAACATTGATTTTGAAACTTGTGAATCCATTGGAATCGTTAGAAGACAGAATCGCGATTCATAAATGAATAGATTTTTACTTGCACCTCTATTTTTCTCTTCCTCTTCTCTAAAGCAGCGCAGCATGGCCTCGCCCCCTTTGCTGCCTTTTCCCGAGGGCGGGGTTTATCAGGGTTTGTGATGTCACGAATCCGGGAAGTAACTTGTTGTAGTCCCTACCAGACGTTTTTGTAGGCATTAAACTGACAGAATTTGTAAAGACGATATCTCCGTTTGCATTGAACTTTCAGCTTCATAACTTTGCAGATATTGTTTATGCTCAAACAGGAACATTACACACTAATGTTAAAAAAGTGAAATCGTAATCAACCACCCCTTTAAAATGAATTCAAATAGAATTTTTTTTTTTTAAATTGCAATAATGTTTCACAATATTACTGTGCAAGCAACTGAATAATGTTAACCAATGGCCTAAACCCTAAACACTGATTTCACAAATTCACATAGTTCTGGATGCATTAGTGAAACTGGAATAATCAATATGTGTGGAGGGACATTATTGGTGAGCAACAGTTGTCTCTCCCCAGAGACAGGCAGGATGTGAACTTACCCACATGGCCGGATAGTAAAGACGATGTAGCTCTCTTCTGTGCTTCTTTCAATGAATGTCACACAAGTGTGTTTCTCCCAGTGACGCATGGCCTGCTTAAAAATGGCTCGCTGGCTACCTACAGGGGTTTAGTTTATATCAGTAAAAAACTAAGGCCATCTAGATAACACTTTGAGTAGGAGCACCAGCTGTCTATTGAAAAATTACAAAGGATATTAATATTTTAAGAAAACAATTTTAGACAAGTTTCAGACAAAATTAAGGTTTTGTGTGCAGTTGGAAAAATGACACTACACTGGAATATTAGGAGAGCATGCAAAAACAAAAAACTACTAAAACAGAACAAAACAAAACAAAACAAAATTAAATACATTTTTTTTTATTAATTTAAAAACAATAAATTAAATAAAATAAAATGTTATATGCAGACTTACCACTGAAGTTGCTACTAATAACATATGGTATTATGCCATCCGGCCAAACTCTCTCAGGCCTGGCTGTGGCTGCTCTCCGTCTGCGTAGGAGGCTTCGACCAGCCAATACTGAGTCGTCCTTTGCATTGCCATTACCTGAGGATCTGTTTGCTAGGGCAAAGACAATACTTCAGACAAAATATACTCGTCTACAAATTACATTATGTAAATTACGTAATGTATTCTACTATAATTAGGGCTGTCAATATTAAAGCGTTAATAATGCAATAACGCAAATTCATTTTAACGGCACTTATTTTATTAATGCGTGATTAATGCAGCGTACATTTTCTGTTTGACCCATGGGCTAGCACGTAGTTGGAGAAATGGAGATGCACAGTGTTTCCAACTTAGCGACTTATCAGACCCCTTTAGCTACTTATTTCCCAAAAAGCGCCTAGCGACAAATCTAGCGGCTTCTTTATAGGATTACATCTCTGCCACAATTCTGGAGAAGGGTATAACTGCCGCCCGGAGATCTCCAAATGGGGGCGGGAACTCCAAAACAGGGTGGGAGCTCCAAAATAGGGCGTGGCTTCCTCCCATTGACAGACAGGCACATGACACGCATGCGCAATTTTTTCCCCCCAATCCACTTCAGTGCAAACTCCGCCCCACAGCTGATTCTAAAGATTTTATTGGTTGTGTCAATAAGTGTTGATTTCCTACACTATGCTACAAAAAATGCTAACCCCTAAACCTACCCCACACCTGACCCTAACCTTAACCAGTGAAATTGACTGCATAGCGGGATTGGCGGTGAATAGCGTGGTAAAGAAAGTTACAGTTCAGGAGATAAACAGTTAATAAGATTATATGATATGAGATTGTTCCGTAACTCCCCAACCGGACCTCACCGGACAATGGCACCTTTTTAGTTACACCCAGCATCACTACCCCCTCCTACCCTGCGAATTTCGAGCCCCGGGACGCCCTAGTTGCTTAGAAAAAAGCGATAGAGTGAAAACTTTCCCCTGCGCTGCGCTGGGACGCCTCGTGGGAGAGCTTGTGGGTGATTCGCGTTTATATCATTAAGCAGAGGTTCAAACTCCAGTCCGAACACCACTGGCCACGAGCTTTGGGCTCTGCTCTCACGGAGAATATTTATTTATATAGCATATTTTATTTTAGATGAACTAGAAGCAATGTTTAATTTATAAAGTTTTATTTTGAAATGAAAGTCAGTAACAATTGGCTGGAGCCAGAGCCAGTGGTGAAAGTCTTTGTGCGAAGAGATCCCGCCCCATTTTGGAAGTTCTGCCCACTTTTGGAGTTCACGCCCCATTTTGGAGATCTCCGGTCTGCAGTTATATCTACTTGCAATTCTGCACGCGAAAGATTATATTTTGAGCCTTTTGCACGCGCGCGAACTGAGTTTTTTGGAGAAAATGTTTGTCTCACAAAGAAGAAAGTATTTAGAAATTACGAAAATCAATTTTGCATTTAAAATAAGTTTTTGGATGTGTGCAGACCTTTAGCGCGTGCAGTTTCACTAGCCTGCTCCCTTGATGCCCGCCCTCAGTGCTCTCTATAAATGCCAACGGCTCACTTGCTCAACACAACCCAGTGTTACAATATGCCATAATTCCAGTCAATCAAACATGAGGCTGCTAAATTCTGATTGGCTGCCTTGACAACCAATCACAACATTCCTTGCATTACCTCGACAGCAGAAGAGGAAAAATACAGTGCATGCATAATTATTATGCAAGTTGATATTCTGGTCATATTATTTTCCAAGCACATTTTACCAATTCGAAAGGACATCAATCTTAATAACTACATAATAATATTTTTTTCTTTGCGAAACGAACAATTTCTCCATAGAACTCATTTTTGTGCGCTCAAAATATGATCTTTCACACAGAATTGTGGCAGAGATCTAACCCTATACGTCTTAGACAAAATTATTTAGTTTCTGAGACTCGCCGGTACTGTCTTTTGAAGTAACTCATAACATAGAACAGGATTATTTTGTACCATATTGATCAAAAAATGAAAAGAGAAAGAAAATCTATTCCATTCTTTGTTTTAAATAACATGAAGTGTAGCATGTTAAAAGCGTGAACATGCTAATATGCTATTAAATATGAATTTAAAATTATATAATTACGCAATACAGATTACATGTAATCAGTTACCACGTAGCACTGAATATGATTGCATGGTAGCAGCAGTGTGTGTTTTGCAACCATTCTCACCTGAATCAGGTATAGAGGAGTTAGAAGAGTCATTCTTCTTAACGTCCATATAGCTGGCTTTAAGCAAGTGCAGGTCCTCCTCATCTAAGGCTATGTCGCCCAGAAAAGCAGCTAAAACAGAGAGTGAGAACACATCACCAGGTGAACTTCTTAAACACCATGCAATCCTCTGCAACTGACGAGGGAAACCTTACCATAATGAGAAGCATTCCACCCAGCTTAATGTAGCTGTGCACAGGTCCCCAGAAAATAAATCTGGGGTTGTAAGGTTAAAGTCACAGTAGCTCTCTGAAGTCACAGCAGCAACTTGTATGCCAGTCTCAACTCTGAATTTTTAATCGGCTCACTCCCATATAGGCTGGTCAGGATTCAGGGAGATGGTGAAAAGAAACCACAGACCAGCAACATTATCCAGATAAAGTGACTTTCCTCTGTCCACCTTATTTTTTCCCGGCGCTTTACAACTCTAAATGCACAAGGACTATTCTATGTGCTACTTTTTCTAATAACTTATTAGAGATTCCTAAGAACCTATTAACTATTGTCTTTCAGCAAACAATTTCCATTTTCCAGGAACTTACAGAGCAGTAATTTACAGAAACTTACAGAGCACTGACCAAAAGTGACATTTTCTCAAGGGCACCTTAATAGAGCAAATTTGTTCAAGCAATTTCTACCATGTCTTGAAAATCCCGCTTTGTGATAAAACCAGCAACTCTGTGTTAACTGTCTTGTTTATTTGGTCTTCAATCCTTATATTCGCTCAAACTTTAATCTTTAAGTCATGGCCATCTTCGAACCAAAGTATCTGTCTGTATATTAAAACATTTTCCATGAGTGAAAGGAGAAGTAAAGACTTTCACAACTAAAAATAACTGATGATTAGGTGAACCTTTTAATCGGCTCACTCCCATATAGGCTGGTCAGGATTCAGGGAGATGGTGAAAAGAAACCACAGACCAGCAACATTATCCAGAAAAAGTGACTTTCCTCTGTCCACCTTATTTTTTCCCGGCGCTTTACAATTCTAAATGCACAAGGACTATTCTATGTGCTACTTTTTCTAATAACGTATTAGAGATTCCTAAGAACCTATTAACTATTGTCTTTCAGCAAATAATTTCCATTTTCCAGGAACTTACAGAGCAGTAATTGCACGGATGGTCACTTTGCACTGACCAAAAGTGACATTTTCTCAAGGGCACCTTAATAGAGCAAATTTGTTCAAGCAATTTCTACCATGTCTTGAAAATCCCGCTTTGTGATAAAACCTGCAACTTCTGTGTTAACTGTCTTGTTTATTTGGTCTTCAATCCTTATATTCGCTCAAACTTTAATCTTTAAGTCATGGCCATCTTCGAACCAAAGTATCTGTCTGTATATTAAAACATTTTCCATGAGTGAAAGGAGAAGTAAAGACTTTCACAACTAAAAATAACTGATGATTAGGTGAACAAACCATTCTTGCAAACATGAAAGTCTTTAAAGATGGATGTAAAAGTGACAACATTAAAGCATAAAACAGAAATCTAAATAATAAGATATCTCTCAGTGAAAGCTTAAAGCTTTCTCATACAATTTATTTATAATAAGCGCAATGCAAATGTAAAAGGCCATATGTATAAGTGAAACACAAAAACCATGTTAGCAGGGACATTTTCTTTTCTGTTTTAATGTACCTCTTATTCACAGGAAGAGAAAACTGGGTATTGTGACGGGCTAATAAATTGAATAAATAATAATAAATTTTAAAAGTACAGAACATTTTACAAAACATAGCGATGAGTCATCTGCAACGTTGTTGTTTTCCCATGAAATGTATTATTTTCTACTTTTTTAATGATAGATTCAGAGAGCTAATAAGCACTAAAAAGTAATAAATCTTTGTTTTGATATCATGGGGTCTTTCATTTCTACACATTTGTGACCTAGCAGCAGAATTCATTGTACTCTGTGGCAGCAGGGAACACTTTAGCCTGGCAGAACATCTTATTAAGCCTGAAACATTTGCTAAACAAACCCGCAATGTGAGCATGTTTTGCCTCCCTTGAGGTTTTCATCCAAAGCTGTCAAATCTATGAACATGCATATAAAGAAATATGCTCACGAATAAGGAAACAAGTCACAGCCAACCAATTTTGAGGTGATGCAGTTCCCAATTAAAGGTTAAATTTAAACCTACAGTCTAAACTGCTTGACAGATAAATGGCCATGTGTCACTATTAGCATCTTCTCTGCTGTTCTGCTCAAAACTCAAAGTATATGTCCACTTTATATATCCACTATATAAAGAAATCAAAACTTCAGCCAAATTGACATGACAGTCAATACATTGACAGAAGATCTCAGGTAGAGCTTCCCCACAATCTGCTCCTCACAGCCATATAATAGAAGGTTAATATGACTAACAAGAAAACAATCAATCAGAAATCAAATATTTAAATAAACAGCAAAGCTTAAATAAGCTTTTATTTTCAACAGCGGGTTTACTATGCTATTTACATTATAATTGCAGGCAGTTTCACTTTTTTGCAGTTCTAGGCAGGGTTCACTTCTATTAAGGCCACACTGTAACCTTTTACCCTTACCTTATTCACAATCCAAACAATTTAATTTCTGAAAGCTACTGCAAAGGGGCTTCAGATTAAAAATCTGCTGTTTTTGTGCCATCTAGTCATTACTGCCAAATCAACTTCAATGGCAGCAACAACACAGTAGTCGTTCCTCTTCCAATTTCCCAATTCAACACTTCTCTTTGTTAGCAACAATTTAACCGTCTCAATTTAATAGTGGTTGGGCAAAACCAAAATCCTGACAGGTTTCAGTAGCCTGAAGTCCACTTCATGCTGTGACAGTAATGAACAATCATCTGAAGCGCTGGGCAGCCCTGTCAGAAACATACGGATTCATTCATGACTTATTTAATTGTAAATTCAAAAAAATTTTTGTGTGCTTCTGTGATTTGACTGATTACATTCTGAGCTTTATACATATTTCTTGGTGAGCACTCAAAATCAATTTAATATTATAGGTTAATGAGTTAATGTTAGCAGGTGGAAATCACATATGCTTGCCACCGGCTCAGTGACGTTGCCTCTAAACAAGTGGACAATGTGATAAAGTAAAGTAGTAATCACGGATTTGCACTTAAGAAATAAAGAAAATATAAATTAGTAATTATGATTCTTTTTTTGTGAAAGCATTCAAACTTTTTAATTTGCAGAGAGCTGTTTGACCATGGTGACATGTAAACAATACAAAGGCTATTAAATTCAGTTATTATAGCCCAGACAACATTTAATCGGCTGTCTAGTCAGTTGCCAGCTGTCCATTGCTGTAACAATGATTTGCCCTCTGAATAGGTCCTTTTTGTGAGACAGGCTAGTTAAAACTTCTACAGACCGTTACATTTTGGTTGGGAAACTCAAGTGTTTGTAAAGCACATTTTGTGCTGTAAATTAGGTAACATGTTGGTTCTATGCGCTCTGCCCGAGGATGCTTATTTCTGAGTTGGGATAGGGGGAGGTCCCACCAGGATCCCATTCACTTGTCCCAGATCTCATGCTGTCATGCAGTACACAGCTAAACAAAACAAAGTAACACAAACAACACAGCACAACAACACAACAAAATAACACAAAGCAACGTAGAATTAAACAAAACAAAAAGTGTTAACCAAAAATAAAAAAAGTACACCGCTTTAACCAAAACAAAACAACTTTAACCAAAACAAAACGTAAATCAAAACATCACAGACTTTGACCAAAACAAAACAACTTTAATAAAAACAAAACATTAAGCAAAACATCACAAATTGTATCCAAAACAAAGCTAACCAAATACAACATTAAACAAAACAAAATAACATCAGCAAAAAAACTAAACAAACTCTTGATTTATAAAGTTTAGAAACACTGTGTATATTACCAGCTTTGCATGGGTCCTTGTAGTCAGCTTCATCACTGTCTCCAGGACCTGTGTGATAGTTTGACTCCACTTTCAGTGCGATCATTAATAAAAGGCAAAGATTGAACATAAGCAAATATGTCCACAGGGAATTCATGATGGGAATGAGTGCGGATGTTCTGTAGATGTGGACCTGGAGCCGGAGGAGAGCTGCGGGTTGCGGTGGGAGTTTGGTAGGACTTGGGAAAATGAAGCTCCCGGGAAGGCGGGTTTAGAAAAGCGAGGCTTTGTCTATTCAGTGTCTTTATTCTAGTCCAGTGATTCGCTCACATACCCGGGACTCGGGCCAGCATCGAGCTTACAAACATACACAGATCGGAGGTCAGTGGACTAAGCGTACTGAGCCCATCTGTGTGGGAGAATGCGAACTCCAGAGCAGCAGCAGAAATGCTGTTGTGTCTAAAATAAAAAAGACGGCATTTTAACAAATTATCTTACATTTTAATGCACATATTGTAGCAATATCTTGTACTTCGTTGGAATACCAATCATAAAATATCCCTACTAGCTGACAGATATCAAATGCGTCCTGAGGAATCACACCTGCAGGGTTGCCAGCCAGGTTTTCACAACAAAATCTGCCCAATTGCTACTCAAAACTAGCCCAATCAGTTTCAAGGGGAGTCCCCCATAAAATTCGCGTTCTGGGGGGTAAAATACACGATTTTTGGTGGGGTTCCCAATTCGCATTCCAGGGGATAAATATCACGTTATCGGGTTGCTTCAACCCGCGGACATGAAAACAACCCGCGCAACAGTGTTAAAGTAGCCCAATTGCGCGGGAACAGGCACCGACGACGTAATCAGTTTCACTTTTTCAGAACTTTATCCACCTTTTTCTTGTCGTAAAAATGGGCGCGGCCATTTGTAAATTATATGGGTCTGGCTTCCGGTCTCATCTGCGTCTACTCCGTCCAGCTATTTTTAGCTGAACAAAACTGTTTGTTTTGCTGCTTGATATTGAAAGTTGGTGTGTCTTATCATATTATTTTAATGTATTATCTTAAATTATTAACACACTGGTTTGAAGTGCAAACAGTTTTACCGTTTACTGCACGTTGTTATTCTCCTCGTTATTTACCTATAGCGGCTAATGAACCGGAAGTCTCACCCATATGCTTACTTCCGCGTTGAAGAAAAAGGTGGATAGGGACCAGAAAAACGAACAGAAAGCACGGAGCCAGGGACAGGCAACAGAACCAAAACCTCGTCACCTGGTTAAAAAAACCAGCGAGAGAGCGCGTTTCCATCGTACCGTCTCTTCATGCCCTTCTGCGCCACGGCGAGTGATTTCTTGGTAAGAGAGCACACACTATGCAAACGCTCTCGAAAACGACTTACAAAGTCCAGTACGTTACACTTTACTCAAATCAGTGTTCAAGATGTTTTCTTTTAAAACTTTCAAGGGTCCCCTTACCAATACCAATTCAGCTGGGCTAAACCCCAAACTGTCTCGCGAACTGCAAATACAACTAATGGCACACCCTCGTCCCAATCCTTCTCTACGTCCATAGCCTATTTTCTCAGCATAGACATAAGGTCTGATGAAACCTTTGGAGCATACCCTGACTTTCGGGGTGATATGCACTTGAATGTCGATGGAATATGCCAAGAGTTTTCAGAATCTGGGTAGGCCTAAACTATTTTTCTTGCAAGCATCGCCCTCACACTGACAGAATTTCATGTGAAATGTTCACGCGATTATTAACGTAATTTTACATTCCGACTTGTAAAAACCATTCACGTCACAATGGCTTTTTATGAGCCATTTTCGAAGCTTTCTCGCTTCTCAAGACGGCCACCGTCAATCACATAACAGCTCTTTAATTGCGCTCTAGTCAAATGCGCTTAAACCACTGTAGCCTAATGTTATTTATTAAAGGTGTCATATAATGCGATTTCAAGTTTTCTTTTCTCTTTGGAGTGTTACAAGCTGTTTGTGAATAGATAAGATCCCTAAAGTTGCAAAGACTAAAGTCTCAAACCCAGAGAGATATTCTTTATAAAAGTTAAGACTGGTCCACGCCCTCCTAAAACGCCTGTTTAAACACACCCCACATGTCTACGTCATGATGTGGGACGATTTGCATAACGCTGCCCAAATGTTCACGCAAAGAAAGAAGGTTTAACTTTATTGTTGCCGCCGCCGCCGCCATGCTGTGAAGATGCTTTGTGTTTCCTTGCGAAAGCGAAAATACTTTGTTTGGCCTTCCAAAAAAGGACACGACTAGAAATCAGTGGTTAAGCTGTATTTACAACACTATTTCAGAACACTTCAACCCAAATATTCAGATGTGTCCAGCGCATTTTATGGAGGACTGTTTCCTGATTCTGGGAGAGTAGACTACAATGCCGGCTGTTCTAACTCACAGACTGTAAGTACGTTTTCATATTTAAAGGGGTGGTTCACTGGGTTTTTTCTAGGCTTGATTGTGTTTATGGGGTGCAGTCTCACATGCGTTTATGCTTTGTTTAAAAAAAAACGCATTATTTTTCACATAATTTACCTTTATTCCACACCACTCTGTCCCTTCTCTGAGAAATACGCTTATAATTTCCTGCTTTTATGAAGCCCCTCCCTCAGAAATAGGCTATGGGCTCTGATTGGTTAGCTAGCCTAGTGTGTTGTGATTGGCTAAACCTCCTCTAGTGCGCGTCTAATATAAATAAGTGTATAATTGGAACAGTTTATTGTCGGAGCTGAGCTAAATGAGGGGGGGTGGGAGATGCAGAGCGTGTGCAGAGCAGGGGAACGCGAGGAACAGTATTGAGAACTGCTGCTTTTGAACATTGATTTTGAAACCTGTGAATCCATTAGAATCGTTAGAAGACAGAATCGCCATTCATATATGAACATATTTTTACATGCACCTAGTTTTCTCTTCCTCTTCTCTAAAGCAGCACAGCATGGCCTTGCCCCCTTTGCTGCCTTTTCCCGGGGGTGGGGTTTGTGATGTCATGAACCCGGGAAGTAAGTTCTTGTAGTCCCTACCAGCCGTTTTTGTAGGCATTAAACTGCCAGAATTTTAAAAGACGATTATAATCCGTAATTATGTCCCCATGCACTGGATGCAACAAATGCCTCGTTTATAATGGGTTTTAATGTTTTGGTCTCGTCGCTCCGGGACACGGCATCACAATATGGTAAGGGGCGTAACATTTCCGTCACACGCTTGAGGTATTCGGCCAATCACAACGCACTGGATAGCTGGCCAATCAGAGCACACCTCTCTTTTCAGAACGATGAGCTTTGCAAAAATCGAGGCGTTTCAGAAATTTGTATTTAACCTGATCACGTTTAATAAAAAGACATTAAGTTTAATTATAACGCCGCATGTCCACCATCAAACAACGAACAAATTAATTATACAGCGAGCAAAGAACATTTACATTATCAAAGAATATCACTGAATTCAGTCTAGCGTGAGCATAAGCACTCTAAAAAAAGCTATAAGCTATCATTAGTGATGTTGTCTGCAGTGTATGATGAATTAATCTCTTATTTACATCGCATACATCTGAACTTTGTTGTTTCTGATGAGAGAATTCACCAAAGTGCACTGACAATTTTTGGCGTATCGGTGATGTTAATATTTAGCAAAATCCCCTTAAATAATAGAAATATTAAAGGGGTCATATGATGCGATTTCAAGTTTTCCTTTCTCTTTGGAGTGTTACAAGCTCTTGGTGCATAAAGAAGATCTGTAAAGTTGCAAAGACTAAAGTCTCAAATCCAAAGAGATATTCTTTATAAAAGTTAAGTCAGCCACGCCTACCTAAAACGTCTTGTTCTAACATGCCCCCACATATCTACTTCACTATGTGGAAATATTAGCATAATGCCACCCAAATGTGCACGCAAAGAAAGAAGGCGTGGTTTCAGGAACAGCAGTGTTGATGCAGCCATGTCAGGGAGACGCTGTGTATTTCAGTGCGAAAGCAAAAGCACTTTATTTGGCCTTCCGGAAGTAGATGCAATTAGGAATCATTGGTTAAGATTTATTTACAACAGAACAGCACAACCCAGATGTTCGAATTTGTGCAACGCATTTTATGGACGACAGTTTTTTTTTAACCTAGAAGAGTACAAGGCTGGCTGTGCACAAAGGCTATTTCTAAAAAAAAAAAAAAAATTAAATTAAATTAAAAAGTAAATTCCGACTTTGCTATGACAATCTGGCTCTTCTGAGTCAGTGACTAAGTATGTTTTGTTATTAGTTTAAGTATTTGCTATTGACTGTTCAAATGCTATGACCCCTTTAAAGAAAAATCATTGATCTAAAATCACAAAAGCACAAATATATATTGGTTCGCATATAACTCTGTCTTCATTTGTATGTTGATCTATAAGAGTGTGGGCTGATTAATATTAGGATTTTGTCAAAAATCCCCCACCATGGCCCTGCCCTGCAACATCAAGCCCCGCCCCCCAGCACCCCCCAGATAAAATATGTTCCCGCGGCTATGATGAGCACAGAATGTTGATTGCTCTTGCTGTTTTGATTTTATTAATTCCCAGACATGTGTGATACATCCTGTTCTCTGTGTCTGAAAGGAATTTAAACATCGAGAGCCAGTGTCCGGTGGTAAAATCTCAATTAAACCACTAAATGAGACCATCTACTTTTGGATGCTAAATTTGGTTGAAGGCCCTGAAATACTTCAAGCAAAATTGTAGAATGAACTGGTGTGACGCCATTTCAAGCAAACTGGGAATGCTATAGCTTTCTCCTTGATTGCACCATTCACTCCATCCAGGCTCCAATAACTCTGTGGGAATCTACAATTCCATTCTTGTCCTCAAGGAGAATTGCCTGAATACCATGACCAATCTCCTGCGGCATTACAGTGAGGCAGCGCACTTTCCTCCTGCTGGTAACACCATGGATACTCTGTTAGGAGGTGGGAGAAAAAAGTGTGTGTGGTGCATCTCCAACATGAAAGATCTACAGGAATCACAGGCCACAGAGGCTTGGAAGCCCCTCCGAAAGTTCTCGTTGAAGAAGCCGTAGATGAGCGGAATAACACCACTGTTAAAGAATGCCAGCCAATGAGCTACGGGAAAAAGATAGCTGCTCAAGAAGTCAATCTGTTAGCAGTCCAGATCCTGATAGTCCGTGAGAAGCATCAAAGCCCAAAGCGGTAGCCAAGAGACCATGAAGAGAATGGCAACAATGATGAGCATCTTGATGACTTTAACTTGGATCGGACTCGATTCTCATGTAGGTTGTTGGACAGTTTGGCAGCGATGCAGGTGTATAGAATGCTTATGAGACCCAGCAGGGCCAGGTAAAGTGGAAATGGTGTTTAGAAACAATATTATTTTTGAAAATTGCACAAAAATTCAAAATGTTTCACTTACAATTTGAGGTATTAATGAATGCCAGTAAATTTGAATTATTTGTGGTTTGCATCTGCACAGAATTCCTTTTATTTATCAGGTAGAAAAGCAACAACATCAGCATGAAATGTCTAAAATATCAGCAGAATATATCCACACAATGGCATCTAACAAATTTAAAGAGAGATAAGGTTGGTTTATAGGACTGCTGTTGATTTGTTGGAAAGTCCCTGCTGATGTTTTGAAGATGGTGATGTTGAAGATGTGTGGAGATGTAAAACTGTAAAAACATCTGATTGCATCAAAGAAGTCAGAGCTGTGAATTTACTTTTTCAAGCTCAGGGGTCCCATGTAATGCCACTCATTGTGACAGCTACTGTACATGTGTACCCTTGACACATGTGCAGTACATGGGACCCTTGAGCTTGAAAAGTTCATTTTTTGGCCAATTAAGCTTTTAGCAATTATTTAAAATGCATCTGATCACTCTACACAATAATCTAGAAACAATGTGAATGAACACCACAACAGCTTAAGCAGCAAACTTTGCAAAACACAAAATTTATGTCACTGCCAAACCTTTTGGCCATGACTGTAGACTTGCTTTGACAGATCATCAATCCTCCTATTTTAAGAAGTCACAAGTCATTGCAATCAACGCTGAATGTTTTTGATTCATTGAAAGAACCGGTTCATAAGTGTCACTCGTTCTGAATTCTTAAATTATTTATGGTAAGGAAATAAAAATAATGTGGTTTTTATTTTGTTTATATATATATTTTTAAATAAACAATAATTACGGTTTTTATATTTTAAAAAAATATTTCTTCCTGCAAGAAAATAAACAACGATAACAGGAATAAACAATTCTTTGCCACCAATGAATTCTTTTGGCCATGACTGTAGACTTGCTTTGACAGATCATCAATCCTCCTATTTTAAGAAGTCACAAGTCATTGCAATCAACGCTGAATGTTTTTGATTCATTGAAAGAACCGGTTCATAAGTGTCACTCGTTCTGAATTCTTCAATTATTTATTGTAAGGAAATAAAAATAATGTGGTTTTTATTTTGTTTATATATATATTTTTAAATAAACAATAATTACGGTTTTTATATTTTAAAAAAATATTTCTTCCTGCAAGAAAATAAACAACGATAACAGGAATAAACAATTCTTTGCCACCAATGAATTTATAAAAGTCACCACACTGTGGCAGTAGAGAAAAAAATACCCTCAACAAAAAGCCATTTCGGGGAAAGAGGATAGAGCAACAAAGAGACAGACAGAGACATACCCTGCATTCCATTCGGAAGGGCTCATCCCTATGCCCTAATCCCTTCAAAGGGATTACCCTACGGAGTGAGAACTTCAAAGGGTTGAAGGGTGTAGGGGACCAAACAAGTGCCCTTGAAGTGCCCTTCTGCTTCATCATCACATGGCCACATGGAGGCGCCATCATCATGCAAAGAATCTGCGCAAAGGATCATGGGAGCCCGAAGTGTCCATCAGTTGTACCCTTCGAAATCCTTCATTCCGAAGGGCCCTTTGAAGTGGCCAGTTTTGAACACTTCGGTTTGGAACGACCCTTCAATATGGCAGCCATGATTGTTTTCACTCCGAAGTGCCCGTCGGATGGGGATATATCCCGTTTGGATCGCACCATTAGTCATTTAGCAGACGCTTTTATCCAAAGTGACTTACAAATGAGGACAATGGAAGCAATCAACATCTAAAAAGTGCTGGTGCTGTTTTAAACGTTTTTCCAAAAAGTATCCATGTCACTCCGCCTTCCTATTCATGATAAACCCACATTTTCACAGAGATCCAGACAACACCAGAGAGAATTAAATGATTTCATGAAGTTTTCAAACTAACCCAAGTCACGATTAACATATGCCTCAAGGGCACGCTGAGGGCTTTAGAAGCCTGAAACACATCTGTGGCAACAGCACAGCTGTATTTGAGCTATCTGAGCGTGTCTTTTTTGAGAGCGAGCGATTCAGGCCAGTCTGACTGGAGCTCCTCAGGATCTGACTGCAGCTCTGGGACTCTGCCACAGACATGAACTGAGACCTGACCTGCTCCAACCTGGATTGATCAGAGACTACAGAGGCTGCATCTCCCCCAAAGTTGGATGTTTTGCTTTGAGGCTTTGCTGGGAAGTGTTACTGACTTCTGCAAGGCTGAAGTTACCAGACTGGAATAATGTCCATGGACTGGCGTGGAGGTGAAAGGCTACTTATAGGCTTGTTTGTGATGCTTATCCTGAGGCTCAGCTGCTGTGCTGGACAGAGCTATGAACGCTGGGAGGCCGGGTCCTCATGCTATGGAGGGTTTGACCTCTACTTTGTGCTGGACAAGTGAGTTTTTTTCATTACCATAAGCTTTGACAGCATCTTGGAAGGTCTTGGTCTGAAGGTCTTGGAAATTTATAATTTACATTTATATTCTCTGCAGTATATCTTAGGTGTCTCAAAAGGTTGGCTCCCGAATCACAAATGAAAACACTTGACACATCTGTCACTTTTACTGAAGGGTACACTTTTAGTATACTAAATTATACAAGCTCCACACATGCAGACAAAATCCTCAAACACAGAATTGCATTGCATTTTTAATAGCTATGTGGACGCATATGGAACCATTTACCATAAAAACAGTAACTATGAGGACAACAACCCACCTCCAGATAACACAAAGAGCTTGGCAAAGAAAGAAAAGATCAACCTGTTTTTTTAAAATAGACTCTTAAATGATGGTTGTGGGATATTTGGGGTTTAAAGGGTTATTTTCCCTTGTCTAGCTCTATTTCTGAGATTTTGCCCTGGGTTTGGTTGCATATTATAATTCATATATTCAGTTCAAGAACAAATACAACAGTTTCAAGTTATTTTAGGGTCATTGTTCCATAGGAAAGCCTAGAATATTCGGGTGTCATGAGGTGAAGGTAAGGGTATCTGAATGTAGCGTTCAGGGGTGTTTGGGTGCTTAATATGCTGAACCTTTTCACCAGCAGGGCCAGATGTTCCAAAGCCTCAGAGCTGTTTTGAAGCAGAGTTCGTATCGGAGCACAAATGATATGGGAATGAGAAAGAGACAGAGGGGAGGGAGAAAGAGAAGTATGCAATTGTTCAGTCATGCCAGTAGCATTCTTCATTTAAAAACACAGATAAACTTAGAGAAAAGACATGTGAACAATGCAAACCCTGTGATGAATTTAGAGTGAATTAAACAAATTTAATTGTGACAGAATAAAACAATGCTTTTACAGTGTAGGACAACAGCCCAGATTAGTCTTTTCATTAATGGTTGTAGGTTCTTATCTGATGAGGTCATAGCAAAGACTTGGCTCACGATGCAAGTTTCTTTTTCCTGTTGAAATTAAACAGTGCAGAAACAGGCACAATGCTTATACGCTGGTCTATGCGATCAATATCTGCCATTTTCAACCATTCATCTCAGAATATCACAGAAAATATCACTATCTCTATCAGTATGAGTAGCATGTTTTTCTGTCATTCATACTGCAATTCTTGATAAACACACACACACAAAAAAAATCTGATTTTCTCATTTTCAAAGCCTGCTATAATTCTTCATCTTCTCAGGTATGGATCTAAATATCAACATGTCTGATAGTTCATTTTGTTTAGAGAAAAGCTGGAGTCTTGATCTCGAGATCTTTCAAGAACTCATAAAATCTCTGGTCTGAGTGTTATTACTCGGTGTCTTGGCCTCGATTTGTGTCTCAAGTTTTGGTCTTTGTCTCCGCTTCTGGTCTCAGACCATTTTCAGTATATTAAACATGATAATTACCTCAACCACAAATCGGCAAGTGGTTCAACATTTGAAATGCATTCTGATTTAAATTTTTTTTTATCTCATTAAAAAGGACAGCCAGCTTTTGGACCAACAGAAAATCCCCTGAGATCCAGATGGTCTGGATCTGGGCCTCAAGGGGTTCACTCTCAGGTCCCTCATGTCAAAATGTTATAATAAATTGATTTAAAATAAAACGACTATATTTCAAATACATCTAGCCTTTGTTTACGTAATAGAATGTGGTCTGGGTCTCAAACGTAAAGTGTTGAGTACGTAAAGAAACGTAAAGAAATCCACAATTCTAAACGACCCGGTGTTTCAAATGAATGCCGCAATAAATTCAATCTTTATTTTTTTTCCAGTTCACTGAAATGCATGGCCTTGCATGGTTCTTCAATTATATCTTTGATCTAAATTTAAGCATTGAGAAGTTTAGACTTGGTCTGGGTCGTGAATGATCTGGTCTTGGCTCTATATGCCAGATTTATTTTTATATATATATATATATATATATACATACATATATACATACATACACATACACACACACACACACACACACACACACATACTGTACATATACATTCTTGATTTAAAATAGAACAGCCAATACAATTTGAGACTAGAATAGCCTGTCCACATTCTAAAAAGATCTGCTGAATTTATCAAGACTGAATTAGCAGCACTGGTGTGTTTGTGGGGGTGGATGTGCGCTGAGGAAAGCTTATACTGCTTTTGGATGGCTTCAACGTCGCTTACGTAAGCTTACAATTTTTGTCTCCACCGCAATTGCCCAGCCAGATGAGCTATTACACAAGCTGAGCCATTAAAGCAGCCCACTTAAGAAAGAGTTAGTGACTAGATGCTCAGATATAATTCTGTGTGTCAGAAGCTATACTTTTTAAGACTGTTGTGGACAATGACATGCTGCCATGCCAATCTGAAATGAATCTTGAGATAATCCTTAAATAGTCAGGAAGAATAATTTGAGTGAAAAATCCCCACTACAATATATGAGCAGCCTAAATCCTTTTGTGGATTTAAGCCATCATGCAAAATTCTAAATGTTTTTTCCCCCCTCACTAAAAGTAGGGTCGGTACGTTATGGTGGCAGATAGCGTCTCAGACTGCAGTCATAAATGTCACACCTTCTGCTGTTAGATCATCGATGCAGACCTTATTTCCAATGAGATTTCACATAGACCTGTGATGCTCACTCCCAATGTGTCAATGTGGCACAAGGTGTTTTTAACAAAATGACACCTAGAAGATTGGATTCACCAACATCACCTCTTGCAATGAAAAACAGTACAAAATTCATCATACGCAATAACTTTCAATGCTTCCAGGTTGTTGATTTTCTATTTTTTCTTTTGTGTGTGTGACACACTACAGAGTCCGTTATTTATATGGTTTTAGGTCTGTTATTTCTATCTTTTGCTGTAGTGTGTCAGTAGGAAATATCAGTTTACATTTCCAAACATTCATTTTGCCATTAATTGTAATAATCCTGTGCGATTTTTGTTTGCACAACACTCCTTTGCAAGGAGTCCACACGGAGATCTGATCTCATCGTTTAAAGCAGGTTTTGCCTATAGATGCTCTTGCACAGTTTTTTGGGAGCTTTGCAGGGAGGTCACTTGAAGCATCTTGGAGACGTTGCCACAGTTCTTCTGGATTTAGTCTGTCTCAGTTTGTTCTGTTTTTTCATTTCATTCCAGACAGACTGGATGATGCTGAGATCAGATCTCTGTGTGGAGCACTGGCTGCTGTCAGACTCCGTTTGCAAACAAAACTCTCACTGGATTATTACAATTAATGGCAAAATAAATGTTTGGAAATGTAAACTGATATTTCCTACTGACACACTACAGCAAAAGATAGCAATATCTGACTTAAAACCCTTTTTTAGCTGGTGAAAGTACTAGTGTTCTAATAATTTTGTTCTGTGTATATTTATTATGTATACATAAATACACACACATACAGTATATATTTTGAAAATATGTACATGTATTTACATGTCTATATTTATA